TCGCATCCAAGTCCAGAGTCCAAAGAAAAAAAATCCCGATAGAGTGAGCAAGATATTCCGTTTTAACGTTACCTCTTTAGCCAGCCTTCACTGAGGATCCGCGTAGGTGAAACCTTGCTATGTTTGTCTGGCTCTTTAGATCTAATCACACACACACACACACACACACACACACACACATATATATATGTATATATATATATTTACTAAAACGTACAAGCATTTTTAAAAGAAATGAACATATGTACAGATCAATATATACATATATGTTTCAAAATAATGTATAGTAGTGTGAAACTTTATTAATACGCACTATACACTTTTGAACGTTATCATAGACAGGTCCTTTTTTTATATCTACGATCCATATGGCGACATTATACATTATTCCACATATTTGCTTCTTTTTTTCTGCAATATAAGGGACGTGGGCGAGATACCTCCAAGAGTAATCAATAAAATACAGTGTTCAACAGGGGGATAGGTATGGTGATCAGAGGAGTCAAATTCTAGTCGAACTTCTTACAAAGTCTGTTGCGTACTTCCGGCGACATGGAGGTGGGAATTATTCTCATAGTGCAACTCATCGCTTTCCCGTACAGTAATAACATCTGAAAGGGGTGAATAATATACTGGATGCGCACAGCGCTTTTAAAATTTCCCTCTATAATCACCAATGTAAGCAAGTATTGCAAATTCCACACAATAATGAATCTAGTGGTCTGGCAGAAGAATAAATTCGGGAATATTTTGTTCTTTAGGCCTCCATCGCACACGCAAATGAATTTTATACAAGTTTTACTGAAGATAATTTAAAAGGCACTAATATTGTTTCTGAATTCTGTAGTGTTACATTCGTTGTTGGCTACAGGCTTGGGTATGAGTAGAGTTTTATTCCTTATTTCCTGTTTAGGATTGTGTTTCCGTTCGTGTTAAATATTAATTCAACTCTATAACTCTAAATGTTAAATTTACAGTGAATTGACTTTTTACTCTCGATGGGAAAGTTAGATAGACCTATCGTCCGATTCAAACTCCTCTCCGGTTTTTGAATAGGAGTAGAGGTCTGTCCTTTATTTTCTGTTTAAGAAGTGTTTCCGTACCTTTATAATGTCCTTTCCTTCTCATTAGCCCCGCCTTGCGTCATAGTGGCATCATCGCCTTCCTTGTGCTGAATTGATATATATATATATATATATATATATATATATATATATATATATATATATATATATATATATATATTGTGTGTGTGTGTGTATTTATGCAGCATTTTTCATTCATACATGTTTCATTAAGTAATATAGACAAGTAATGTCTATTTATTTTATATAAATTCTTTTCATATCATCTGATAAGCTTAATAACATTATCATTAAACGAAGAAAGAAAATCCCATTATTGATACATAATTTTAATCCAATCTAAGCTTTCGGCTTACATAAGCCATTATCAAAGATGACAATTACAGTACAATATATTAAGTAATACACGGACAAGAAAGTGATGAAAGCCTGTTTCTGTTTATATGGATGATTTCCAAGCAATGACAAACTCGTGCATATAAGACGCTGGAAGTGAAAATCGCACCACAGCTCATGACGTCAAACACAACCACGCGAGAGTGATTTCGAGAAGTATTAAGTATGGGAATCCGTTGGTATAAATAAATAAAATAAGCAAATTGTTCATAATACTGCTTCTACTAATCTCAAACATATTAATCTTCTATATCGTAATCAAATGCATACTAATTATAATTAAGATGAAAATATACTAAAAAAATTAATAAATACTAATATATCTACAACAGTTCCTAGCAAAAAAATTAAGTTAATCATATACTACACTAAATCAAGTATATCCAACTTAATTATTCGCAATGATTCTTCTCCCCCATTTAGCGATTTGCAAAAAACCAACATAGTTTACAAATTCAAGTGCCCTTTGGGATATTGTATCTCCAACGAGTTAAATAATATTTATGTTGGTCACACCACAAACTCGACTTCACGACGCTTGACACTACATTTGGATAATAATTCTAACATTTTGAGGCATTTAAAACAACATGCCTGGCCGCATACACAATTCCGTAAAATCCTTGCTGAACATACAACTATACTTAAACATGAAAACAATAAACAAATTCGAGAAGTGCGGGGAAATAAAACTATTAGAATAGAACTGACGGTTGCATCCAGGTAGTTCAACAGTACAACGGCGCCATCTATTCTCTTGTGCAAATTAATTGAAACAAAACGAATCATTCCGTTATGACTTACTGTTTTCGTATTTTCCAATGAAACATGACCTGTCACGAGCTTCTTTTTCGTCGTACAGACCGCGATCTCTCTGTAAGGCTTGTTAGTGCATTTGTGAAGCGTTAAAATTTTCTTACGCTTCCTTGGAGTAACGTCCAACACAGACAATATCCGTAGGACAAATAATCGACAGTCGGGACAGTAGTCTCTGGGCGTGATAAAAATCTGATGCAATCATGGATAACGCAATATTTTCCAGGGCCAAACAAATTTCATTATACACCGCGAAAATAGGTTCATATTACTGCACAACACTGCAAATAGCCTAATCTGAGGAAACAATTAGAAATCGATTACACTCTCTCACTCCAGTGGGTCTAAAACTGAACGTATGGTGAAAGAATGGAAACTAAAGCGGTTTCAATTAATTTGCACAAGGGTTTAGTGTCAGGTTCATGCAGTCGAGGCACTAAGGAGAACAATTCATCATAACAATTAACATTGTTATATTTGTCGAAAAGACAGAGGGAAACCAAAGTCACGTCGGTGGGAGGGTGACTGAAGTCGAGATGCCAGGATCAAGTCGATTACATTACAGATATCTTTTTGAATCTTGTCAAAAATCACGTAATATATTATTAGTAACACCAGACCAGATAATAAAGCTAAGCTATTGATGAAGATGTTGTAGGTTTATCCAGAGTGAGAGGACCCAGTTATTTTTAATTGCAAACTCATCACGTAGTAAATAGTAATAAAACTGTTCAACTTAAGTATCCGATTCTTGCAAGTGAAATATTAACTATACACATTATTTACATACGGGCAATTGTCTTCATCGTTGTTGTTATCACAACATTTCGACTGTTGCGGCCACCGGCTTTCACCAGGTGTATATCGTTCAAGTTAACCTACTGGGAATTTCGAATTAACAAAGGTTTTTTGGTCCGCTCATCATGTTCAGGGACATTTCATCTAGTTCTTATATTAGAACTGCTCAGTTATTGCTCGCTTCTTTTCCACTGAATACAGATACACACTGTCTGGTAGAGTGATAGAACTCACAATACTAAGTAATCAAATTTATAGACCAACGCTTTAAAGCACTAGAGATTTTCCCGTGGGACAATGTAATGTAAACAATGGCAAAGCCTCAATTCAGTTCGTCCGAAATAAATATTTAGAGTTTTATAAATGAAATTAAAATTATAATCAACTCCCCTTGCGATAATATTTGAGTAGATGTTTTATTCTGAAATTAATCTAGTAGAAATGTTTATTCTTTTATGTTCCGTGTTCTTTTCAGGATGTAGGCTATCATGGCCCTGCACATCTTTCAGTCACTTGTAGCTCCTAATAAATTCTGTCTTTTTTGCTATTTCTCACAAAACAAGTTCTAGCAACTATTTGCTCAAGCTCATCAAGTATGTTACGCGCTGCTTTCTCCTGCCCATCTTTCCCTTAATTTATTGAGAGTATCAGTTTCTCCAAGCCCTCTTTCCTCATTACAGTCCCTCCAAAATTCAACTGGCTCTTCCTAATGTTAAGTTTTCTAAGTTTCTTTTTTGTTTCTATTTTCTCTAAAACATCGTCGTTATTCACATGTTCAGTCCATGGTATATTCAGCATTTCAGAACCACATTGCTGTTGCTTGTTGTCTCTTCTTCATGTTTGAGGAGACTGTCCAGCAATCTCTGCTATACAGGAGGACTTATATCACGTAAGAGATTCGTATTCTTTTCTTTGTTTATGACGAAATTTTTCTAAAACTTCATACTATGCTTAGATTTTGGAATGCATCTTTGGCCATCCCAGCATGTCTTCGGATCTCAGAGTCGCACTTTCCGTCCACTGTTAGAACCCTTACCAGATATTTAAATTCATTTACTTATTTTATTTTAGTGTCCCCGTTTTGTAATTTCATTTTTGTCTCACCCTTTTGCTGATCTGCATCCATTCTGTCTTGTAGTTTTTATTTTGTGATTTCTTCACGCTTTCTTTCGCTAGATTCTGTAGGAGCTTTTCTAGTTTTTTTTATATGTGTCTTTTATCAACACTGTGGCATCTGCAGATCATATGTTTTTAAGATTGTAGCCGTTTTCATTGTAAAGTTTGAATAAATCCGGTGAGAAGTCACACACTTGTCTTACATCCTATCTAGTTTTGAATATATATGGAATAATTTTTAATCCGTATAGAAATTGGTAAATACTCTTAAGTAGTCTCTACTCTTTGATACTCCAGTGGCTCTCTTTCCGGATTCTAGGGATTTATCATCAGGGCTTCAGTAGGAATTAAACATTGAAACAACGGACTTAATCAACGATAGATAATTTTCGTGTTTTTTTTCCTCGCTTTATTTCACAGGTGGGGTCATAGTTGGAATTATTCTTGGACGGAGCGAAAATGAGAGGCGGGGAAGATGGGACGACAGCAGTTCGTCAAGCTACAAATTACCCAACCGCCGTGAAACCATGGCATTGAGATTAATCTGGGAGAAGAAGGCGTCAGAGCTCGTGACATCACCACTGCCGTAATTGTACTGCTGATTTCCGCGCGTTTAGGAATTAGAAGACTATCAATCACTGCCATAATGTTACACGTTGAAAACAGTCCGTGTCGTCAATGTTCTGGTCATTGCAGTAGATGTAGCCTACACATTCTAAAACATTACTGTCATTTCTGTTAACAACGATCAATCACAGTAATAAACATTAATTTTTGCTGCATAATTGTTGAAAGCACCGGTTCCCGTTCGATTACCGAAGTTAAGCAGCGTTGAACACAATGAGTACTAAGATGAGGTAACGACTTGGGAACACCTTGTATTGTAAACAACCCGCTACAACCGTTAATGCGTCTGCTTTAAATAACCAGCAATGGTTTGATTTGCCATAAAAGAATCAATCAATTACTACATAATGTCACCAAAGCGTGTGAGCAATGGCGCAGGTGATACAAAGAGGACATGGAATGTGATACTTTGAAGTGAAGAGCTGAAAATTGCCGCGAACGTCCTCCTCTCTCCTTATTTCCTTTCTCTCTCTGGTTGCGGTAGTGGAGATGATTGTGATGGCCCCTAGCCTACTGCTGGAAAATCGTGAGCAGGAGTCACAGAGCAGTGTGGGTGGTGATTCTGTTCATGTTGACGGTTGGACTTGAATGTCTGCCCCACTAGGAAGATCCTACGTTAGGAAGGCCGATTTGTAACAAGGTTTTCCAAAGTGTCAGTTTCGATGTTAGCCTCTGTAAGTGATACTTCATTTGATCCTTGAAGCGTCGTTTTGGACCTTCACGTAGCCTCTTGCCACTGGTGAGTCCTCCAAACAGGATAATACGTGAGAGTCGAGTGAGACGCGCATTCTGAACACGTGACACGCCCAATGCCGAATTAATAAGGAAGCAAACATATTTTCTGATTTATTTCATAATTCTTATGGTAAGAATAAATGCCCTATACATCATATAACTATTATATTTAGAGAGTTAAAAATACTTTGATTATATTTTTATTTGACATACACGAAGTATATATTATACGAGGGGGAGTAAAAAATTATCCGCACGTTCGCCATAACATCTCTTTATGTTTGTCAGGCTTCTGCTCATCTGTGCTTAGAGTTGATACTATTGTGTTACCGTGATCGAAGTGAGTTTGAACGCGGTAGTTTTCTTGCTTAACTAGCAGTGTACACGAATAGCAGGGATCCGATTTCTTTGGTCGGAAGGTGTGTCAGAGGTTGCAATTCACCGGAGAATTTTAACGCAATATGGCGACAATGCACTACCGAGTAGACGTGCGTATAAATGAGCCGAGAAGTTTAAAAGTGACAGTACAAACTTGATAAAAGAAGAAGGAGCAGGGCGCTCGTCAGCCTCCTTCACTGTTAAAAAGATTCAGCAAGAGCAGAAGAGGATAATGGCGAACCGGCGGTTACTATCAATGAAGTAAAATGTCCTCTGCAAATTCGGATCACTGCCGTTTGTTCCTTCATAGTGCAGGCTGGGGTGGTGAGGCTATGTTTAACTGCTGCAAGGAAACTAATGCGATCAAGCTCAAAATTCGATCACGTGACCACAATAGTCGCACGATAAACACGCGTGAGCGGAAGGGAGCGTGATAAAAAAAATTAAAAAAATATGTTATCTCGAAAGTGCAGATAAATTTTTACTTACTCTCGTATATTTAAGAAATAAAACAAAAAAGAAAGTAGCTAATTAAAGCAGTACCTAATACAATGATGACGTTTAAAATTTTTAGTTTCATCCTCATGGGACTGATTTTCGAAGTAGTTTAATTTTCCAATTTTCTTCTCTTCAATGTTATTAGTTTATGAAAATGTATTCAACAGTTATTTAATTATCTTTGTTCTATTTTATTATTGTTATTATTAGTAATCTACTATTTTTCCGAATTTTTGCTATTAACGTCATCATATGAATTGATGTTAACTTTATCGTATGAATTTTAGAAGACATAGCATATATAGGATATAGTACTATTTCAGATATCGACTGGAGGACTTAGACCGATGAGTACTTGTTGTTACTTGATCCCAAGTATAGGATTAATGCCTGAAATTAGCGTAATGCAATATTAGTGATAATGTGATTGGTTGGTTTGTTTCGTTTTGCAGCATATCAACCTAGGTTATTTTATGCCGTCAAAATTTTTATTGCAGGTAATTTTTTTTTCAAAAATGTATATTTGGTAATAATTTTTTTTTAATTGTATTGCTGATAATAATATATTGCTGGTAATAATTTTTCTTCAAAAATTTATTGCTGGCAATAATTTTTTTACAAAGTATTTCTGGTATTAAAATCTATTTTACATTTTCATAGTGTTTGACCCCAGTTTGGTGGTTAACTATTTACCCAAAGCTAGGACCCTATCAGGTGCAACTACCCCGAGTCAGGGTGGACCTGGGAACACCAGTAAGTAAGAGGTGGCTCCGCCCTCCTCAAGACCTTTTGATCAGGCACCATGCTGTTGGGCGTAGTTTATCGTTTTACCCAGGACGAAGATATAGCTTTTCGTCATACTCAGGAAGGTGATAATTTGAAGATAACAGCAACAGCTATCACGGAGAGAATAAAATACACACATCTATCTATCTATCTATCTATCTATCTATCTATCTATCTATCTATCTATCTATAAATACACACACACACACATATATATATATATATATATATATATATATATATATATATATATATATATATATATATTGTGTATATTTAGGCAGCAATTTTTCCTTGATGTATGTCTCATTAAATAACATAGACAATTTTTGTCTATTTGTGTTAAATAAGTTCCTTTAATATTGTCTGATAAGCTTAATAACATTACTATTAATGTTATTAAGCTTATCAGACAATATGAATGGAACTTAAAATAAATAGACAAAACATGTCTATATTATTTAATGAAACATGCATCAATATATATATATATATATATATATACATATATATATATATTTGAATATATAAATATATAAAATCCAACATTTGCGGCCTGACAATTGCGTCTAGCATGAAACAGCCTGTCGCCTCTAAGTTTTGATTCAATTATCACTTATATATATATATATATATATATATATATATATATATATATAGCAAGCAAGTTTTTTGAAAGTGCTATTTGATGATCTGATGTACTTTAAAAAGGACTCTGGTGAAATAAATTATTATAATGGTAATTTAAAGTTGAGTTAAAATAAGCTCTGTTCCAAAAAAAATTTCGCTTGAAGATGGAACAGAGCTTATTTTAACTCAATTTAATTTAAATAATTTAAATAATTTAAATAATTATATTTAAGTTTTCGGCTCTTGTTTTGAAACATGGGACTTCTTATGTCGCAATTTGGAATCATACTTTTAAATAAATAATTATATTTATGCTCTACTTTTGTATCGAGCACTATTTTTTAAAAATAATAACTAAAATACTAAGGGACTTTGGATTATTTACCTAACCAGTTCCTTCCTATTTTCTATATATTTTTTCACACATATTTATTTATATATATATATATATATATATATATATATATATATATATATATATATAGAGAGAGAGAGAGAGAGAGAGAGATCTCAAAAGTAAAAGTCACTTGTAATGATAGCTGTATGAAAGATATAATATTATAAACAAATTTCTACATGTAAATTTTTACTAGTGTTAAACGAATACAATGCCCAAGAACCACTCAAATTAGATGTTTACATAATCAGGTGATCTATATGAATACAAAAGTAGGTAGTAGATAGTCAGGATAATGTGTGGGTAGGGTAGCTAACGAATGACGGCTAGCATAAAGAGGCTAAGATTTCAGCGTTCGTGGAAACATTAATGTGGGAGCCTATTCCCCAAAGCAGCGGCTATTGCAATGAGGAGTTTGGGTGAAGTACTACTCCTTACAGTAGGAATACAGAGATCTTGAAGTTTGAATCCAGCATGTCATGTCTTAACCCTAAAGTTGAGAATTGGTGGAAGTGAAGAATCTAGAATTTTTATCTGGATATAACGACAGAGTAGCTGTAGGCTTGGGACGTTGCGTCTGTTTGTAAAATCTTTTGAGTATTTAAAAGTTTTAGTTGCGATAGTATAAGTAGGAGAAAATTTTCAAATGCAAGATAATTAGTGGAAGTATTTATTGATGTTACTACATGTGTACTGTATTCCAAGGGAAATCGACGTAAGAATTTCTAGATCGGTCCGCTTGCTTTTGAAATCCTGGCTTCATCTCTTATAGAGATAAGTGCTCTTTTGGCCATTTTCCAGACGCCATCTTTTTAACATTTCTCAACGGGGCCTCCTTGACAGGGCGTATCAATCATATAACAGCAAATGTGCGGTTTATATCATTTGGGCAGTTGATGCCAACGCAATAGGTAGTCACCCGGGGCAAAAAGCATGTGGTTTTCCGTTATCATTGCTTGCTATCTTGCGGGGAGTTAGGGTCTAATGACATTTTGGTTTCCATCTGTGTTTTGCGACAAAGCAAGTGGACTTTTTTTCGGGCGCTCGGGGGCAGCAGTGTCACGCGCCAGCTTTTATGTGGGGATGGGTTTCGCAACGTAGGAATAAAAAAAAGAAAGTTAAATATTGTTATTACTTTGATTTTTATATATTTTTGAGTCGAATATTTCGGTTTCAGTAAACCATAGAGAGATAAAATATTCAAAGAAATCTTAATGTTATTTGCAGTTAATTTTAACGTTTCATTTGAATTACACAATGTAGCTTCCTCAATGTTATCTTCATCCTGTCACATTAAAGAAGAATTGATATAAAGGTAACATCACGTGAATAAATAAATGACTTAAAATGAATTTATATAAGAATCCTTCATATTTTTAAGAGCTCTCGTTAAAGTCTCTGTGTAGAAAATATGTATATAAAGAAAATCTGTATATATGTAAAATATTAATATATGTAAATAATAATAATAATAATAATAATAATAATAATAATAATAATAATGTTATATACCGTACCTATGAACTCTATATATCCTAATACTTATAAATACGTTGGGCACTATTGTAAGTGGGGGTAATATGCTGTCTAAGTAGTTCACCACTATCAGTGGTTTACCTACTTCACGCCGCTGGCAAGTATTGTATTTTGTTGAAGTTATAAAGATTACCGTTTCGTTTCCAACTCCGTTTTGGTTATTCCTTATTCAATAATCTTTTCTAAGCTACAACAAATCATAATAATAATAAGAGGAACGAAGAGGTTTATCTATGTAAAATGTGTGTGATCATTGTTTTTTTTACAAAAATAATCATTGGAAAATGTCATGGACCCTT